TAAATGAGGATGAGCCCGTTCCAATGGATTTAACCGACCCGCAGGGTGCTAGCCACCCACCAAAAAGGTTCCCGTACACGGAACATTTGTCAGCAAAGTTCCAAAACATTCGATGACGGGTTTTGACATGGATTCTATTCCCGGTGTATACTTGGGAGCAGGGTGATGGATCAGAACCAAGCCTCTCAAGTGCGCGTGTTTCCCAATTTAATTGTTTATTAAGTGGCCATTAACGCTTTCTTAGGCAATGATTACGGAGTCGTTACCGGACCAATCTCAGACAGGTTTCTCGGTGTCCGAGGGCGAGGATATGGTCTCAAAACTCCTCCCGGGCGCTGCTGCGATGAAAGTACACCTTGCTGGAAGTCGGAAACGAATAAAATCGACTCCTGCGCTTGAAAGCTCGCAAAAGCCCAAGAAAGCGAAACTGAATGTAATGGAGGCCGCCCGGCAAAGTCGTAAGGCTGTTGATGAAGCAGCGATGCAGCGGCGGGAACAAGAAGTTGCGTCCTTCCGTGCGATGACCGAAAGCGTGGATATCGGACGATTGCGGAACCTTGCGATTGTTGAAGAGATGGTGGTGCCAGTCATGTCTCGCGAACAAATAGACCCGGCCGATAGTGTTCGATACGATCAGCGCTGGAATGGCCGAAAGAACTTCAAAAAATTCCGCCGAAAGGGACATGGCTGTTCAATCCCTCGCACGGTTCAGCCTGTGATCGTGCCCCTGGAAGAGGTTAAGAGGAAGGACTTTGGTCTTGGGGGGGCATACTGGAGTACGAGCCAACCCAGGGCCCGACATCATACTACGATTGGAAGGAATGAGGAAACTCCGAGCCCTTCACGGCGCATTATTACCCAAAGCAAGTCACCCACTCGGCCTGCAAGCATTGGTAAGCGGCCCCGAGATACTCGAGATGCAAGGGAGTCTGATAGTGAAGATTGTGTGAGATTCCGCTTCCGACGAAGGAAGGGAAGATGATATATCCTTGAGGCGGGATTTCAAACCAAAATTCGAATGATCGGAATGCACAGCTATTTGAAATCGAAAAGTCGGAAACCATGTCTTGTCGCTGTTCGTAGAGTGCCGTTTTTTTGTTGTAAACCAGGTCTTTCCTGTATCTTAGCTTCCAACTATAGATATAGTAGTAACGTAAGCAGGCACTCACAACTCAGTTGATGCCCGCTCTGATCATGTTAATCTTAATACTGGCTTCCATTGTCTTGAGACAGTCACGAAAATTGATTTTTATTAAAGAAGGCTGAAATATGCTTTAACAGTGACTTGAAATCAAACTTTCTCTCTCTTTAAAAAGCATCTGCTTTGTTGTGATGAATGTGTTTATGTAGAATAGTTGAACATTGTATTGGCAGAGCTATCTACAAAGAATCTAATAGTGGTTGATCACATGATCTAGAGAGATGCTAGGACAACAGCTGCAGCCAGTTAAAACCCTCTCTTGAGATAATAAAAATCACATATAGAAGTGCTCACATAACTTAATAGTTTACAAGGAA